GGGACCCTATGGACAGGGACCTCCATGGACAGGGGACCCCCATGGATAGGGGACCCTATGGACAGGGGAACCCCATGGACAGGGACCTCCATGGACAGGGGACTCTATGGACCGGGGACCCCTATGGACAGGGACCTCCATGGACAGGGACCCCCCCCATTTCCCACTCCCCACACACAGGAAACAAAAAGGGCTGCTGAATTTGAGTGCAAAAAATAAATATAAAATTTATTAAAACACCCACAATATTTTAAAGATATCAGGAATAATACATTTCACAAACCGGCTGGTTGTGTGTAACTCAGAATAAAATACAAATTAAAAAAAAAAAAGAGGGAAGGATCCATACTTGCAATTTTCAGGCCTCCTCGTGCACGCACGTCACCCAGGCACCGTGCCCGAGCATCGTGCCCTTGCACCGAGCACGCGTGCTGCGCCTGTGCGCACCGTGCACGCACGTCACCCAGGCACCGTGCCCGAGCATCGTGCCCTTGCACCGAGCACGCGTGCTGCGCCTGTGCGCACCGTGCACGCACGTCACCCAGGCACCGTGCCCGAGCATCGTGCCCTTGCACCGAGCACGCGTGCTGCGCCTGTGCGCACCGTGCACGCACGTCACCCAGGCACCGTGCCCGAGCATCGTGCCCTTGCACCGAGCACGCGTGCTGCGCCTGTGCGCACCGTGCACGCACGTCACCCAGGCACCGTGCCCGAGCATCGTGCCCTTGCACCGAGCACGCGTGCTGCGCCTGTGCGCACCGTGCACGCACGTCACCCAGGCACCGTGCCCGAGCATCGTGCCCTTGCACCGAGCACGCGTGCTGCGCCTGTGCGCACCGTGCACGCACGTCACCCAGGCACCGTGCCCGAGCATCGTGCCCTTGCACCGAGCACGCGTGCTGCGCCTGTGCGCACCGTGCACGCACGTCACCCAGGCACCGTGCCCGAGCATCGTGCCCTTGCACCGAGCACGCGTGCTGCGCCTGTGCGCACCGTGCACGCACGTCACCCAGGCACCGTGCCCGAGCATCGTGCCCTTGCACCGAGCACGCGTGCTGCGCCTGTGCGCACCGTGCACGCACGTCACCCAGGCACCGTGCCCGAGCATCGTGCCCTTGCACCGAGCACGCGTGCTGCGCCTGTGCGCACCGTGCACGCACGTCACCCAGGCACCGTGCCCGAGCATCGTGCCCTTGCACCGAGCACGCGTGCTGCGCCTGTGCGCACCGTGCACGCACGTCACCCAGGCACCGTGCCCGAGCATCGTGCCCTTGCACCGAGCACGCGTGCTGCGCCTGTGCGCACCGTGCACGCACGTCACCCAGGCACCGTGCCCGAGCATCGTGCCCTTGCACCGAGCACGCGTGCTGCGCCTGTGCGCACCGTGCACGCACGTCACCCAGGCACCGTGCCCGAGCATCGTGCCCTTGCACCGAGCACGCGTGCTGCGCCTGTGCGCACCGTGCACGCACGTCACCCAGGCACCGTGCCCGAGCATCGTGCCCTTGCACCGAGCACGCGTGCTGCGCCTGTGCGCACCGTGCACGCACGTCACCCAGGCACCGTGCCCGAGCATCGTGCCCTTGCACCGAGCACGCGTGCTGCGCCTGTGCGCACCGTGCACGCACGTCACCCAGGCACCGTGCCCGAGCATCGTGCCCTTGCACCGAGCACGCGTGCTGCGCCTGTGCGCACCGTGCACGCACGTCACCCAGGCACCGTGCCCGAGCATCGTGCCCTTGCACCGAGCACGCGTGCTGCGCCTGTGCGCACCGTGCACGCACGTCACCCAGGCACCGTGCCCGAGCATCGTGCCCTTGCACCGAGCACGCGTGCTGCGCCTGTGCGCACCGTGCACGCACGTCACCCAGGCACCGTGCCCGAGCATCGTGCCCTTGCACCGAGCACGCGTGCTGCGCCTGTGCGCACCGTGCACGCACGTCACCCAGGCACCGTGCCCGAGCATCGTGCCCTTGCACCGAGCACGCGTGCTGCGCCTGTGCGCACCGTGCACGCACGTCACCCAGGCACCGTGCCCGAGCATCGTGCCCTTGCACCGAGCACGCGTGCTGCGCCTGTGCGCACCGTGCACGCACGTCACCCAGGCACCGTGCCCGAGCATCGTGCCCTTGCACCGAGCACGCGTGCTGCGCCTGTGCGCACCGTGCACGCACGTCACCCAGGCACCGTGCCCGAGCATCGTGCCCTTGCACCGAGCACGCGTGCTGCGCCTGTGCGCACCGTGCACGCACGTCACCCAGGCACCGTGCCCGAGCATCGTGCCCTTGCACCGAGCACGCGTGCTGCGCCTGTGCGCACCGTGCACGCACGTCACCCAGGCACCGTGCCCGAGCATCGTGCCCTTGCACCGAGCACGCGTGCTGCGCCTGTGCGCACCGTGCACGCACGTCACCCAGGCACCGTGCCCGAGCATCGTGCCCTTGCACCGAGCACGCGTGCTGCGCCTGTGCACTGTATGCATGCACCGTGCACACACACTGTGCCCGTGCACGCACGCTGCCTGTGCACGGTGCCCATGCACTGTGCACATGTCCTGTGCCAGCACACCATGCCCGTGCACAGTGCACATGCACCGTGCACGCACACTGTGCACGCGCCACGCAGCATGCCCATGCACCGGGCACGGACGCTGTGCCATGCGTGCACGCACACCATGCTGCACACCGGGCCCGCTTCCCGCACAGCGCGCCCGTGCACTGTGCACACACACACCGGGGCATGCACAGGGGTGCACACGCACCAGGCCACACACCGCGCACCATACACTTTGGGCCGTGCCTGGTGCCTTTGCACTGTGCCGCTGTACCATACCCGTACACCGTGCCTGCACACCGCGCCAGGCACCGCGCCTGTGCACCACGCTCCTGCACCGCACCCGCGAGGTGTGCCCACGCACCATGCGTCTTCACGGCGCTACACCCCACTCCGGCACACCGCGTCTGCCGGCACGCTGCGTCCGCACACCGTCCCGTGCCCCCTC